ATTGTTCTGCCTACTCCTTTTGGTGGTTCTCTCCTTGGTTTCAAGAAGTTGCCTCTGGCACATGCACAGAACCCAGAACCAAGGACAAAAGAAAACTCCTTTTTTGATTTCTGGAGTTATCTTCCCAGGAAGATCTCCCCTCTCCAGTACACCTGTCCCTTAAATTTTACCCACTTGGACTCCTTGAACTCCAACCTCTGTCTTAAGTTCACTCAGAAAGTTCTCAAGCTCTTTGGGTTTCCCCTCCCTGTGCTATTGCTTGGAAACCCAGAGGGCTCCTCGTTTTCCTTCTCTCAGGGACACAGACCTAGACTACCTGTTGTTCGATGCCTAAAACTGTTGCTTTTAAACATTTTGTCTGAAATTTACAAGCAACCCCATTAAAAAGTGGTCAAAGGGCCAGGTGCAATGGCTCATGTCTGTAATCCCAGCACTTTGGGAGGCCAAGACAGGTGAATCATCTGAGGTCAGAAGTTTTGAGACCAGCCTGGCCAACATGGTGAAACCCCATCTCTACTAAGAATACAAAAAAAAAGAAAAATTAGCCGGGCATGGTGGTGCACACCTGTAATCCCAGCTACTCAGGAGACTGACACAGGAGAATTGCTTGAACCTGAGAGGCATAGGTTGCAATGAGATGAGATTGTGCCACTGTACTCTAGCCTGGGCAACAGAGCAAAATTCTGTCTCAAAAAATAAATAGTCAAAGGACCTGAACAGACGCTTTTTCAAAAGAAAACATAAATGAAGCCAAGAAGCACATGGAAAAAAGCTCAATATCACTAATCACTAGAAATGCAAATCAAAACCACAGTGAGATATTATCTCACACCAGACAGAATGGCTATTGTCAAAAAGTCAAAAAATAACAGAGCTGGCAAGGTTGCCAGAGAAAAGGGAATGCTCATACACTGTTGGTGAGAGTGTAAATTAATTCAGCCATCATGGAAAACAGTGTAGCAATTCCTCAAAGAGCTGAAAACAGAACTACCATTCAACCCAGCAATCCCATTACTGGGAATACACTCAAAGGAATATAAATCGTTTTACCATAAAGACACATGCATGTGTATGTTCATGCACTATTCATTACAGCAAAGACATGGAATCAACCTAAATGCCCATCAGTGACAGACTGGATAAAGAAGACATGGTACATATATACCGTGGAATACTACACAGCCGTAAAAAAAAATCATGTATTCTTCAGGAACATGGATGGAACTGGAGGCCATTATCCTTAGCAAACTAACACAGGAATAGAAAACCAAATGCCACATGTTCTCACTTATAAGTGGGAGCTAGATGATGAGAACACATAGACACAAAAAGAGGGACAACAAACACCATTGCCTACTTGAGGGTGGACAGTGGAAGGAAGGAGAGGATCAGAAAGAAATAACTATTGAGTACTAAGCTTAGTACCTGGTGACAACATCATAATCTGTACAACAAACCTCCATGACACATGTTTACCTAGATGACAAATCTGTATATGTACCCCTGACCTTGAAATAAAAGTTAAATATGTAAAAGTAAATAAATAAATATTTGGTCTGGTTTTCTACTTGTTTAAGGCAGGATAATAAATCTGATCTTTGTTATGCCACCTTTTCTAGAACTAAGAGCTTAGTAGAAGCATTTTTGAGAATTTTGATCAATATTTGATAGACATATACTTGGGGGAAAACCTTCTCCTCCTTAACCCCCAAAAAAGTGTCTCCCTCAACATATATATATAATATATTTGGGACAGGGTCTCACTTTGTCACGCAGCCAGGCTGGACTGCAATGGCACCATCTCAGGTCACTGCAGCCTTGACCACGTGAGTTCAAGCAATTCTCCTGTCTCAGCCTCCCAAGTAGCTAGGACTACAGGCACATGCCACCGCAAGCAGTTAACATTTGTATTTTTAGTAGAGACAGGGTTTGCCGTGCTGCCCAGGCTGGTGTCAAACTCCTGAGCTCAAGCCATCCTCCTGACTCAGCCTCCCAAAGTGCTAGGGTTTCATACATGAACCACTGCACACAGCTATCAACTAATATTTTTTAAATATCAAGAAACATGAATTTAAAGAAGTTTAAATAAGCATGCTCAAAAGAGGAAGAGAAAGAAAACATATATTTTTTTTTGAGACAAAGTTTCACTCTTGTTGCCCAGGCTGGAGTGCAATGGCATGATCTCAGCTGTTACAAATAAAATGTTGATGTCACCAAAGAAATGGCACTTGGAGATAAATCCTCTCAGCAAGGCAGTTTACTTCTATAGAAGGGTGTGGCTCATGGATGGAGCAATGGTGGTTGCATCCTTGGACAAGGGAGGAAGGGGTACTTATGCCTGACAGGGATTGTCCCTACTGCTGTGTCATCCCCTATTGGCTAGGGTTAGACTGCACAAGCTAGACTAATCCTGATTGGCTATTTTAAAGAGAGCCGGAGTCCAAGCTGGAGTGGCAGGGTGGGTGTTTTGGTGGGAAGGACGGTTATGGGCAGGTCAGAGCAGATAGCCAGGGGTGACCTAGGTCAAAGAAGGCGACCAGAATAGGTGAGTGGATCAAGTGACCAGGATGCGTCAGGATGGAGCCAGGGGCTGGTGGAGCAGATGTGAACCACTGATTAGAACCAGCAGAGAAGGTTGTTTACTGGAATTACAAGGAAGTTAAACTTTAAAACAGAGAATTAAAGAATAAGAGAGCTAAACATACGGACATACTGATTCTTTGAAGAGAAACTGAGAGTTCACTATAATACGGCTCACCAAAAACTCCGCCTCCTGGGTTCAAGCGATTCTCCTCCCCCAGCCTCCGAGTAGCTGGGATTACAGGCATGTGCCACCATGCCCAGTCAAGAAAACATGAATTTAAAGGAATTTAAATAAACATGCTCGAAAGAGGAAGAAAGTAAATTAGGTGAGAGAGGGGGTAAGAAAGGTGACAACCAGGATTGCAATGTAAAATGAAGTTAGGGTTCAAACAGGTCCTTAACTTGCCTGTTCTGCTGCCCCCAGGGGATCGCTCAAAAAGTGGACATTTGTAGCAAAGTTTATCTGGCAGCTCTTTTAAAATGCATATTCTTACCATGCAGGGTAGCTTTCACCTATCATTTCAGCATTCAGGAGGCCGAGGCAGGAAGTATCACTTGGGTCCAGGAGTTCAAGACTAGCTTGAGCAAACCCATCTCTACAAAAAATACAAAAACTTAGCCAGGTGTGGTGGTGCACCTGTAGTTCCAGCTACACAGGAGGCTGAGGCAGGAGGTTCACATTGAGACTGGGAAGTCGAGGCTACAGTGAGCTGTGATCATGCTACTGCACTCCAGCCTGGGCAACAGAACAAGCCCTTGTTTCAAAAAAGAATAAATAAAATAAAAAACATTTTCTCAGGCCCTACCTCAAACCTACATAGGGCTCAAATTCTAGGAGGGGGATCCCCATGTAGAATCTGCCTTTTCTGCATGTTTCTCCAATCACTTCGGACCTACGATAAACTGGTGGAATATGGCCTAGATGGCTGTCAAAGGGGATATGACTTTTGGCCCCAAATAGTTCCGTGGCCGGACTGGGCTTGTAAATGGAGACCCCTGACTCCCCATTCTGGTCAGTTTCTACATTGTCAGTTGCTATCAACCCTCCCTGAACATCAGTCACCTGCAGCTTTGGAAGGCTGACACTCAGGATATCCCCAGCAATGCAGACTGAATTGGTCTTAGGAGGGGCCTAGGTATCTGAACTTTCTCAGACTCCCCAGGTAATTTCAATGCGAGCTTGGGCTATGGCACAGGCTCTAACCTGGGCATCAGCAGGTCTGGGGGGCCCTGAAGTACATGTTTACAGCATGTGGGATGCCTCGGTGTGGGTGCAACTTGAATTCTTATAAGGAAGCACAATAATCAATTTTCTGAGATCAAGGCAGTGAACAAAGGAAACACTGCACTCGTTAGGGCAATTCTGTGCTTTTCTTTCCTTTTTTTTTTTTTCCCTGTCATCCAGGCTGGAAGGCAGTAGCATGATCTTGGCTCACTGCAACCTCTGCCTCCAGGCTCAAGCAATTCTCCTGCCTCAACCTCCCAAGTCGCTGGAATTGCAGGCATGCACCACCACACCCAGCTAATTTTTGCATTTTTTTAGTAGAGACAGGGTTTCACCATGTTGGCCAGGCTGGTCTCCAGCTCCCCACCTCAAGTGGTCGGCCCGCCTCGGCCTCCCAAAGTGCTAGGATTACAAGCATGAGCCACTGCACCTGGCCATACTGTGCTTATCATACCACATCGGGCATAAAGATCCCCTTGAGAGCTTGTCAAAACACACATTCCTTGGATGCACTCCTAGAGATTCTAATTTCAGAGGTCTCAGGGTATTGCCTGAGAATTTGCATTTCTAACAAATTTCTCATGAAGCTGACCCTGCTGGTCTAGAACCACACTTTGGGTATCACCAAGCTATGGGGAGAGAAGAACCTGAAAGGTCAGACCTAATCTCTACCAGTGCCTAAGTGGGCGTGGATAAGTCACTCCCCCATCTGTCAAATGCCTTGATATCCAGAATGTCTTTGAGTGTGTGTTGTGGGTCAGCTCCACCCCAGTCTGACAATTCCTCCACCCTAAATCCTCACCTGCCCTCCACAACACCACCCTCAGGTCTCCATGCACCCATCTGCAGCATGCGCCAAGAGTCTCAAAAAGCCTGGAACCTGTTGATAATATAATAATAATAAATCATAGCCATTGCTCACTTTAAAAAGGCAGACACTGTTTCAAAAAGCTCATCTCCTTATCTGCAAAGCCTAGAATAGCACTAGATCTACAGTAGACACTGAAGGTGTACTCACGAAACGAATGAATGAGAGTGCTTAGTGGGACTAAGCCTTCACAAAGCCTTACCCTCCACACAAATGGGAGCTATGTTTTATTCTCTTGTTATAGATGGGGAAACTGAGGCTCTGAAAGGTGGGGGCACTCGCCGAGAGTCACACATCACAGCTCGGCAGAGGCTGGGTTTGGAACCTCGATCTGGGAGCAGACTTGGGTCTGGTTGCGGGGGAAATGAGACGGTGTGGGGGGACAGTGAATTAGTAGAAGCTCCTCCGAGATGCGGAGGGAGATAAAAATAGCCCGCGGGCTGCGCTCGGAGGTCCTGGAAGCCCCAGAGCTCGCCGGCGACTGGCGTCCTAATTTATGGCACCCGGAGAATCGAGCTCGGCGTGCGCCTCTCCTAGGCAGGTTGAGCTGCAGGTGAGGACAATGTAATTAAGAAATCAAAAGGTAATTTCCACAGTCGCTGCCGCTCGCCGGACCCCGCGGTCGCTTAATTGATGGTGAGGCCTGCCGAGCCCGCGCAACCGCCGCCAGTGCCAATGCGCCCCGGTGCGCCCAGGAGCGCCGCGCCCGCCCGGCGACTCGAGGTTTCCCGGTCTCTTCCCGAGGAGGCGGGGAGCTTGGCCGCGTCCGCAAGGGCTTCCGGGAGCTCAGGGGAGGGCGACAGGGCGTGACGCTGGGGACCCTCTAGCCTGCGCTTCCTCCCCACCCGCTACCCCCACCCGCTACCCCCACCCGCATAATATGTAATCTTCTATTTGTCTCTCTCCATTACTCCTGTATTCCACTTCCTATTTCTCTCTGCATACATTTTCATTTATTTTTCTCCCCATCCCCCTACTTTTTTTTGAAACAGGGACTTGCTCTGTCGCCCCGGCTGGAGTGCAGTGCAGTATCACAGCTCACTGCAGCCTCAACCGCCTGGGCTTAAAGGATCCTTCTACCTCAGCCTCCCAGTGCTCTGAGAATACAGGCATGAGCCACGGCACCTGGCCTGTCTCCCCTTCTTTAGTTCACTCCCTGGTCTTTATCATTTCCTCTCTCTTCTCTACTCCTTCCCTGGGTTTCTGTCTCTTTGTTTCTCTTTTTCTTTCATTTACCAGAATTCCTACCACTGGGCCTGGAAGAAAGAGCCCTCAGGTGACCTTTAAATCCTAGGGGAGATTGCATGTAAGTTACTGCCCCTTCACCTCCCCTTCCTGCAGCCTTCTGCATGCGGGGTGCGTCGTGGCAGCCCTGTAAGCAGGCAGCACTGGCTTGGGTAGACCAACCTGGACTCTTACATGGAATGATGAGTCCGTGCCCAGGAACAAGGGGTGGGTGGGTAGGTGACTGGATGCATGGATTAGTGGTCAGTTGAGTATTTGGATGGATGGCTGAGTATTTGGATGGATGGTTGATCTACCAAAGCGATGGGTATGTGGATAGTCTAAGGTTGATTGGGAATTGGGTGGGTGTGTGGATGAGTGGGTAGGTAAATGGGTGAGTAGATGGATGTGGTGAGTAAATGAAGGAGAGGTTAATATAGGTGAATAGTGAATAAATGATGAATAGATGAGTGTAGGTTTGTTAAATTTGCAGATGGGTGGCTGGATAGGTGAGTGGATATGTAGATGGGTCAATGTGTGGATGAATAAATGGGTATATAAATGGATGACTGGGTAAGTAAGAGAATGGATAGTGGGTAGATGGGTGAAAGGGTGGGTATTTTGATGGATGAATGAATAGGAGTATAGATTGGTGGACATGTGGGTGGATAAGTGAGTGAATAGATAGGGCATTGGTAGATGAATGTACGGATGGATAGTTGAATAATTGGGCGTATGGATACATGGACTGATGGGGAAATGAATGGGTGAATAGTGAGTAGGCAGATGAATGAGAAAGGATGTATGGGTTGGGGGAGTCGATGGATGGATGGATGGATGGAAGGATGGGTGGATGGATGGATGGATGGATGAGTAGGTAGAGAAGAAGATGAATAAATGGATGAGTGGATGTATGGGAGTGCTCAAAATGTAGGTGAATAGAGAAGTGGATAGATGGGTGGCTGGATAAACGGGGGAACTTATGGGAACAGAAGCATGTTCCTAGTGATGACATTAAGGAACAGATATTTGATGGCAAAGTCAAAACATAAGCAGGTATAAACAAAAGAAACAGAAATCTGCCATCATCCAAGAGATCTCCCAGCCCTGGGATCTCAAGGACTTTCTTTTCACGTGTCTGGCAGAGCAGACAGCTGTGTTGTAGAGAAAAGAGCACTGGCCTGAGCCCTATGCAGACTTGGAGTGAGTCACTATTTCCTTTTCTTCCATTTCTTCAAATGTCAAATGAACATCAGCCTCCCTGGGTTGAGGGGAAAAGGTAAAGTAACAGGAATGAAGTCACCTTGCCAACTGAAACACTCTCCACCCATGCCCCAACATCAATACATGGAATCTAGCTCAGCCTTGTCACCACCCTAATTTCATGGGTTGACGAGCAACCAGACTCAAGGTCCAGCTGCTGAGCCCTTTCTTAAGTCAGAACCTTTTTTCCAAAGGCCCCTCCCTCATATCTTCACTTCCCAGAACTCTACCTGTTCTGTGGGGTCCAGTTCTCTTTCACATACTGCACCTGCAAGAAAGCTTTCCCAGTTATCCCTTCCCCTTCTAATAGAGGACATTGAATGCTACAGCAAAGAATATGGACAGTAATTAGGCCAGTTAAATGGGGCTGCAGAAAGGTTTTAAATCCCTACCTGCCCCAGGGTAAAACATGTTTGACCAGGACTCTGAGGATCTGCGTCCCTAGGTTCCTTTTCCATCAACACTACCTCCCCAAAGTAGAAAAACGCCTTTTGTTCATCTCTGGGTTTTTAGCCCCTAGTACTGAGTTATCAGTAAACACTTGCTGAGCGCATCTAAGTCTGAAATGGAGAAGTGCAGAGGATGGTCATACTTAACCACATCAGCGATACAGTTTTGCCTACTGACCCTTCTGCTGTGTGTCTTCTTCCCACTCTGTGTCAGTTTTGCAGAGGAGGAAACTCAGGCCAATAGAAATTGCCCAGCTGCCCCCCAAAATCCTACAGTCCCTTCCCCCATTCTGAACTAAGCTGTCAGGAATGTGACCACCAGAGCAGAAAGGTCTTTTGTTACCACACAGAGAGGTAAGTGAGGGAGGTTCCATTGGGGGATTAGGGAAGAGCCTGCAGGCAATTCCTTTCTCACTGGGGCTCAGCGGGGGCTGGAGCTGGATTTTCACCTGATAAGAGCCTGTCTTGAGCTGCCTCCCACCTGCTGGGAATGCCCAAAGCCAGAGATGCAGGAGGCTCACCTGAGGTGGCCATTCTTAGGCCAGCAAACCTGGGCAAAAGGAGAAGGAAAAGGAGTGGTGGGAGTGGGAAGGAGGAAGAGAGAGAGAGAGAGAGAGACTCAGACATATATCTTTAGTAGAGTATAGACACTTGCATCCACATAATCACAAATACATATACACTGGTACACACTCAGAAGCTTGTATGTGTGAAGATTTATTTATGTACGTGCTTGTGTGCACTTCTCTCATCCACTCTTATATTTTCATGCACAGAACCACATACATATACACAATCACATACACAAAGATGCCTATACCATACACTTCCCACACACACACATTATCAAATGTCCACATAGATACTTACGTGCTCATACAGCATGCACATACACACACAGTCACACACATGTCTAGGCACAGTGTCACATGCATATACTCATTCACAGTCACATGTACACATATGCACGTCCTCATATTCACATATATATACACAACCCTACTTGCCTCCAACCCCCTCCCCGACTGCTGGCTGGCTTTTGTCCAAAAATTTTAAAAATTCTTCCTTAGTTTTGCAAATCTATTACATGTATGTAGCATCTGTGCACATGCTGCATCTCCACTTAGGATTCAATGGTGACCCTCCTCAGTGACATAGAACCATGGGATTCAGGGCTGGTGAAGGGGAGGGGCCGGGGGAGCCATAGGGACAAAGGCATTAATACTACCTCCTCCTCAGATCTTTCCAGGTATTTTCCCAGCCAGCGTTTCACTGGCACTGTGCTACATCTTTTTTATTTTTTGAAACAGTCTCACTTTTTTGTGTGTTTATTTGAGATGGAGACTTGCTCTGTCACTCAGGCTGTGGTACCGTGGTGCAATCTCAGCTCACTACAACCTCTGCTTCCCCGGTTCAAGCAATTCTCCTGCTTCAGCCTCCTGTGCACCTGGGATTTTTGTATTTTTGATAGAGATAGGGTTTTACCATGTTGGCAAGGCTGGTCTCCAACTCCTGGCCTCAAGTGATCAGCCTCTCAAAGCGTTAGGATTACAGGCATAAGTCATCGAGCCCCGTCAGCACTATATTACATTTTTAAATGACAGATACAGGAGGTAGAAACCCAGTTTACAGATGAGTAAAACTGAGACTCAGACTGATCATCATGCCCAGCTCATAAAGCTAGTTAGTAGGGGATCCCATATCTGAGGTGAGTCTGTCTTTGAAAGCAGCAAGAATACAGTTTTTGCCCCTCCCCCAGGGAATTTTTTATTGTTATGAAATATTTAAGACATGCAAAAGGCCAGGCATGGTGATTCATGCCTGTAATCCAACATTTTGGGAGGCCAAAGTGGGAGGATTGCTTGAGCCCAGGAGTTTGTGACCAGCCTGGGTAACATGGCGAGATCCCATCTCTACAAAAAATAAAATAATTACCCAGGCATGGTGGCACATGCTGTAGTCCCAGCTACACGGCAGATTAAGGTGGGAAGATCACTTAAGCCTAAGTCAAAGCTGCAGTGAGCCGTGTTTGTGCCACAGTACTCCAGCCTGGGTGGCGAAACGAGACCCAGTCTCAAAAAAAAAAGGATATACAAAAAAGCATTTTCCGGCCGGGCGCGGTGGCTCAAGCCTGTAATCCAAGCACTTTGGGAGGCCGAGGCGGGTGGATCACGACGTCCAGAGCTCGAGACCATCTTGGTCAACATGAGACCCCGTCTCTACTAAAAATACAAAAACTTAGCTGGGCATGGTGGCGCGTGCCTGTAATCCTAGCTACTCAGGAGGCTGAGGCAGGAGAATTGCCTGAACCCAGGAGGCGGAGGTTTCAGTGAGCCGAGATCGCGCCATTGCACTCCAGCCTGGGTAACAAGAGCGAAACTCCGTCTCAAGAAAAAAAAAAAAAAAAAGCATTTTCCATTTCCATCCCACCATCCCACCCTGAAATAATCACTATCCCAAATTTGTGTTTCATTTAAAAGGTGATGGTGAAGCATCTCACACTGTGAACAACCACAAAACAAAACTCCTGCTCTCATGGAACAATCTAGTAAAATGCATTTTCTTATAGTTCTGCTAAGAATGTACATATCCCTAAACATACAGTTTAGGATGTTTTTGAGCTTTATCCAAATAGCATGATCTACTGCAGGGTTTCTAAACTTCAGCTTGATTGGCATTTGGGGCTGGATGGTTCTTTGCGGAGGAGCCGTCCTGTGCTTGGTGGGGTGCTTAGCAGCATCCCTGGCTTCTGCCCACCAGATGCCGGTAGCACCCCCAAGCTCCCAGTTGTGACAACCAATAATGTCTCTAGGCATTGTCCGGTGTCCCCGAGCAGCATAGGACAAAATTGTCCCTGGTTGGGAAGCACCGACCACTGTCTACACTATACTTGCCCTTCTCATTTCAGGCCAAGTTTTTGAAATCCATCTCGTTTGCCGTCTGGAGCCCTAGTTCATCCACAATTTACAATAGCTGAGTCTTCCGCCCAGTGGGAAAACCACCATTAATTTCACTCTCCTGTTTTGGAGCATTTAGATCACTTCTTGGTTTTGCTTCGTACAAACAGAGCTGCTATGAACATCCCTACCTGGAACTCAGGGGCCAGTTTTCTCTAGGGACACATTCATCTGTCTGCTATATGCTTTTTTGCTTTTCTTTCCTTTATTTTTAATTTTTAATTTTTATTTATTTATTTATTTTTTGAGACAGAATCTCAATTTGTCTCCCAGGCTGGGAGTACAGTGGAGCGATCTCAGCTCACTGCAAACTTTGCCTCCCAGGTTCTAGTGATTCTCCTGCTTCAGCCACCCAAGTAGCTGGGACTACAGGTGTGCACCACCAGGTCCAGCTGATTTCTGCATTTTTAGTAGAAATGGGTTTTCACCATGTTAGCCAGATGGTCTTGAACTCCCGACGTTGTGATCCATCCACCTCAGCCTCCCAAAGTGCTGGGATTACAGGCGTGAGCCACCGTGCCCTGCTTGGATGCTTTTCTTCTAAAACTCTACTTTCATTTTACAAATTATGTCTTAGCTGTACTTGCTCAGGCCCCTAAGATGGCATCCTAGGATCTACTGAATCGAGTAGCAATCTCCACCTGCAGCTGATGCTCTTTGGGACCTGGGACCAGCCACTCTTCTCTGTGCCCTACTTTCCTCCTTTGTAAGATAATTACCCAATGATGACCAGGATATACTAGTATTTCTGAATTGTCTCACAGCATCAATCACAAGAAGAGGCTCCTGCTGTCACTCCCATTTTATAAATGAGGAAACTAGGTCAGGCATGGTGGCTCACACCTGTAATCCTAGAGTTTTGGGAGACCAAGGCAGGAGGATCACTTGAGACCAGGAGTTTGAGACCAGCCTGGGCAACACAGCAAGACCTCTGTCTTGACAAAAAATAATAAGGATAATAATAAACAGGGTCATGGTGGCACACACCTGTCATTCCAGCTATTTGAGAGGGTGAGCTGAGAGGATCGTTTGAGCCCAGGAGGTTGAGGCTGCAGTGAGCTAGGATCATGGCATTCCACTCCAGCCTGGGCAACAGAGTGAGACCCCATCTCTAAAAAATAAGAAAACTGAGGCACAGAGAAGTTAAGTATGTGCTCCAGATCATGCAGCTAGTAAGTGCCAGAGCCTACATGCTTTGCATTCATTAATTCCATTAGTTATTTATTCAACAACTATTTTATTGAATACCTACTACATACACAGCCTCAGCAGCGATCAAGATACCCAAGATCCTAGACTTTACAAAATCCACCACTTAAAAGTAGGGCATAGGATGGGAAGGAAACAAAAAATTATTGTGTTTGTCTGTTAATTTGCCTAAGGGCAGCAATAAGTGCCATGGGGTTAGAAAAGGTAGAGTAATAGGAGCTACTTTGGTCAGGGAAGTCCTCTCTGCAGAGGTGACATTTGAGTGGAGACCTCGATGTCAAGGAGAAAAACAGCCAAGCAAAGACCTAAACTGAGAGTGTTAAAAGAAAAGGGGAAAAGCAGGCGTAGAGAGGCCCCATTGTCAGAGGCATTTAAACCAGAGTGACTCCATCTTGAATTGGAGCTGGGTAAAATGAGGCTGAGGCCTACTGGTCTGCATTCCCAGATGGTTAGGCATCCTAAGACGCAGGATAAGATAGGAGGTTAGCACAAAATACATGTCATAAAGACCTTGCTCATAAGACAGGTTGAGTAAAGAAGCCAGCCAAAACCCACCAAAACCAAGACGGTGATGAGAGTGACCTCTGGTCATCCTCACTGCTACCCTCTCACCAGCATCATGGCAGTTTACAAACACCATGGCAACGTCAGGAAATTACCCAAAAGGCCAAAAAGGAGGAGGCGCGAATAATCTAACCCCTGTTTAGCATATCGTGAAGAAATAATCATAAAATTGAGCAATCAGCAGCCCTTGGGCCTGCTCTGTCTACAGAGTAGGCATTCTTTCATTCCTTCACTTTCCTAATAAACTCGATTTCACTTTACTCTGCAGACTTGGCCTGAATTATTACTTGCGTGAAATCCAAGAGCCCTCTCTTGGAGTCTGGATTGGGACTCCTTTCCTGTAACACCATGCTGGAAGCCATTCTGGAATGTTCTGGAAACAGAGTAAGCAAGGAGACAAGTGACAGGTGAGGAGGTCGGTGAGAGGCTGGGGCATCCCGCTCCAGATCCTCAGTGTGGATTCTTGGGCTGATTTTGGAAGCCTTCCATGGGCTGGCCCCACCTTTCCAGTTTCCTATTCCTTACCAGGTGTCCATTCCAGGAAGGAGGCTGACCTGAGAAGGGAAGGAAAGGGCACACCTGGATCACCCACAGAGCCTCACACTGTGGCCAGTGAAGGCTGCTCACTCGGGCCACCTTCCCAGGTCGGGAATTGCTGCAACCAGAGAAGGAGGAAGAATCCCTAGTTCTAGAATTCCCTTGGAACCCAAGTCACTGGCCCAAAAAGAAGCTAGCCCCAGTGGGTGGGGGATTACATTCCTGTTTATTTATTGTTTTGGAATCAAAAGGCCACCTGCCCACCTCCCTGCCATTGAAAACATCCTGACCCTCCAAGCACCCGTCCCACAGAGGGAGAGCTTCCACTTATTCTTGAGGGAAAAGGGAGATGAATGGCTTCCAAAGTAGGGAGATCTCCCCTCCACCACTGCAGAGCTGTGTGCTCTTGGGCCAAGGACACAGGCTCTCTGAGCTGACACTTCCTCGTTCAGCTAATGGAAGGATTGTTAAAAAATAACCTAACTCTCATCCCTGGTACACACACACAGGAGCCTTTCAACCCATACTAATTTTCAATTTCCTCCAGGACTAATTTTTCAATCTTGAAAAGCATGCTTTGCCACTTCTGATGAGGGCCAGTTTGAGTTTGCTTGTTAAAGTCTACCTAGCCTTGATTGGATGCCATGATGAAGTCTTTCCTCACCTTTCCTTCTCCGGGCCACATCATCCCAGGACCTTTCTGTTATCTTTGCAGGGTTCTCGGCTGCTCCTCCACACCTCTGAGTCACAGCTCCCTGACCCAGGTCACAGCTGAGGGAGGGGGAGTGCAAGGATGACCTCATGGCTCTCTTGGGTTGAGTGCAGGGGGTAGGGCTGTGGATACCCAAGCCCTCATCTTCCCCTTCTTCCTACTACCTAGAGATGGAGTGAAGAGCTTTCACACTTGTCTGGGCTGACTCCAAGTGTGTGATCACTCTCCCCGGGTGTCAGTGAGGCTAGGAGATTTGTGATACCGCCTGGTTCCTAATTACCACCCTTTCTGCACTCTCTCCCCCTCCTGCTGTCCTCAGAGCTGCTGCCACCACCTCCATCATCTCCAGCTGCCAGCCTGCCTGACTCCATCTGCAGAGGAGAAACACGGCTGGAAGCGAGAGAGGCTGTTTTACTTTGTATGCCCAGGTGTACCCATGTAGCCACACTCACAAGGTATACAATAGTATGGAAAACAGACCCTTCCACATCTGCAAAAAGATCTGCTCACCAAGTCAGGTTTATCCCAGGAATACAAGCATGTTGTGGAACAAAGTGTCAATGAAATTTACAACATTATCAGATTAAAGGAAAATGATATGATTTATCTCAATAAATGCTGAATAGGAATATGGAAAATGTCCTTGTCCAGGTTTCAGAAAACAGTAACTTGTTTAGAAGGTACAAACCCAAGGCAGTGAGAGTGAGGGAAGGGGGAACTGAGGCAGGAGCAGATGGGAGCAAGGCAAGGTGACATATTGCTGTGCTGCTCACTGCTTCTCGAAAAGCAAAGCAGATTGTTTGGCCATTGGGCTACTCAGCCTTGCAGGGCACCTCCATGTGGACATGCCTCTGAAAAGAGCACCAGAGGAGGAAGGAGAGTTTATCAGATCAGCTCCCTCCCTATCTTCTGATCCTGTTGGTCAAAAATTCTCCCCTGGATTAACTCCCCAGCATTTCTGGGCTGCATCAGACAGCCCTACCGGCAGCTGCTTGGGAAGCCATACACTGTGTTGTGATATTACTTCTAAGTCCAGAAGTGACAAGAAAAGCCAGAGATTCGGGGTTAGTAGCTGATCAGCCCTAGACAATGGAATTGCATGAGACTATGTGGAGTGAGTTGGCTGCTGTTGGTGGCTAAGGCTGAGCAAACAGCTAAGGACTGGGAAGCAGGTGAGACAAGAGAATCTGATGAGGCTTGTATATGTGTCAGATGCAATTGGTTTCAACTCCAGTTTCTAATGAAATCTCATCAAGTGACATACAGATTGGTAAAATATTTAAAATATTTCAATTAAAATACAAGACGGGGATGAAGTTACCCAAGATCACCACTGCTATCAACATTGTACTTCAGGCATTAACCAATGCAATAAGACAAGAAAAAAAAGAGCACAAAACTATGATGTTTGGAAAGGTAGAGGCAAATTTGTCATTATGTTTATGTGATATGACTATCTATATATAAAATGCAAAAGAAGCAACTGACAGACTATCTAAGTTAATAAGACACATTGTGTCCAAATCATTATCATTTCCTTCCCTGTCTCTTCTTTCTCTCCACCAAAACTTGCATCCTACATTTCTTGCTCCTGTTCTGCAATTTCTTGCCTCTGAAACTTTATTCCTTGCAATTTCTGCAGTTGCAACACCTACCTATTTCCCAATGCCCAGTGCAAATGCCACTGTGTTTTTCTGAAACCTTTCCTGTTTTCCCAACCACAAGTAGGTTCTCCATCTTCTAAGCTCACACAACCTGCATCATTCATTCATTCTCTACAGTTCTCTGAAGGTACCTGCCCTCTCTTACCTCTTATTACAGTTATTTGTGCCTAATTTTATCTACTGAAGTAAGCTGTGAGCACCCTGAGGCCAGAGATTGGGGAGATGAAAGAATATAATTTAGGGGCAAAGAGTACTTTGGAGCTTGACAGCTCCAAATCCCAGCACTACTGTTTATCAGTTCTGTGCCCTTAACAAAGTTCTTGCCCTCTCTAAGGCTTTTTCTCATATAAAGATTGAGGACATGGTGGAGTTGTTTTGAGGTTTGCACTAAACAAGTTGACATTGCATGTGCATTTCTATGTACATTTAGCAAACTACCTAGCACACGACAAAGAATACTTTTATTTCATGCTATTATTTTTCACCGTTTATCCCTGGCACCTAGGACAGTGCCCAATGCATAAGAGAAGTTCAAAAGATGCTCGATGAAATGACTTCACAAGTATTTATTGAGAGCTTCTGTGCACAGGGCAATGCACAGGACATTAGAGATACTAGAATGAGCAGGATCCAAATCCTGGTCTCCAAGAGGTCAAGAGCATCAGAAGATTGTAAGGAACACAATGGCAGAGACAGTCAAACCCAAGCCCACTAAAGTCACATGCACTTCCCCCATCTTGTTGGTGGCTGTCTTTATGGGAAAGTCAGCTTACAGCATGGACTCTCAGGCCATTGGGTCAAGAGGTTGGGCTCTGGGGTTAGGCAATTCTATGTTCAAATCCTGGCCCCTGTATTTATCATTTGGATGCATTCAGGGAAACTCTCTGATCTCTTTGAACCATGGCTCCTCTTCTAACTACCTACCTTGCTGAGTTGCTGGGGATAAAATGAGATCATCAAATGTAAAGAACTTGGCACAGCACCTGGCATCTACTAAGCACTCATTTAATGCTAACACCCACTCCACTCTCTTCTTCTTATAGATGGGAAACTGGGGCCCAAGGAGGAGCAGGATGTGTCATGGGTCTCATCAAGCAACTCAATAAGGTCTCCTGGATCCAAAGCGATCTTCATGTGGAGATTTCCCAGGTTCCACCAAGCTCTGGCAGTCAAAGGTCTATGGAAAGTTCAGGAAGGTGAGCTGCATATTCTTTTTAAGGTCTCTCCAGCTAATACTGAGCCAGCATGAGCCTGGACCACAGTTGCTAGCTTGGACCAAGGCAGCGCTTCATAATTTCTAGCAAAATAAGTGTTTCCTACTTGGCAGGAGAGCATTGCTCCACCACTCTGGGCACCTCTGGGTCTCTTTCATTCCGCTGAGGCATCAAGTACCTTGAGTACCCTAGCTTGGCTACTAATATCACCCATCTAGACCTCATCAGTCCCAGTCCCTGAAAAAGAATAAAAAGAAAAGAAGACAAAAAGCAAGAAACAAGGAATATCAAACAAAGCACAAAAGGTTTCCCTTCTTTTACCCCAAACCGTGTCTCAAAAATGGATCTTATTAATGAAGTATATTTCTCTGTACTGACATGACAGATAAATTAAGTGATGATATATTAAGTGAAGAATTGGAAAATGCCACACACTCTGCTCTATCCACCTCCACTATCTAAAAGTATATACCTAGAAAAAAAACACTGAGAAAATATGTCTTAGTCTGTGTCCTGCTACTGTAACAGAGTACCCCAGGCTGGGTAATTTATAATGAACAGAAATTTATCTGGCTCAAGATTCTGGAGGCTGGGAAGTCCAAGATCAAGGGCCGGCATCTTGTGAGGACCTTCTTGCTGTATCATAGCATAGCAGAAGGCATCACACAGAGAGAGATAGAGAGAGTAAGAGAGGGCTGAACTCACTTTGATAACAAACTCACTCTCACATTAACAGCATTAATCTATTCATGAGGACAGAACCCTCAAGACCTAATCATCTCTTAAAGGTCCCAACTCTCAACTCTGTTGCATTAAGAATTAAATTTCCAACACATGAATTTTGGGAGACACATTCAAACCACAGCAAAGTATTAACAAAAAAAATGTTCCCGTTGATGACATCTGAGGGTATGATTACAGCGAAGGTTCTATATTGCCTATTTCCAAATGTTTTCATTTAAGCATTGCTTTTGTCATCAGGAATACTAGAGGGTTTGAAAAAGAAAAAGGGATACTTTGTGTCTTGGCCAGTGTGAGAGGCCAGGAGGGCTGTAAGGAAGAGATCTGGAGCAGGACATTGGCCAGAGAGACCACCTGTCTGGGCTGGGGAAATTCCAACCTTTGGACCAGAACTAAGTCTCCTGAAGCAGAAGGGAAAACTGAGTGATATTACAGAATCCTGAGTCATCTCTATTCTTAAAGGAGTATGTATGTTTCTGAATTCCTAACTTGATGTTGTCGCTGGAAGCACACATAAGGAACAGGTGCTACCCTTTCCCTCTAGAAAGGAGAGCCAGGTGGCCAGGGAGGGAGAGAGGTAGCAGTTTCACTTATACTTTTTTGGTAGCTTTTGAGTTATAAACCATGCAAAGGTATTACCTACTCTAAAAATAAATAAACTGTAAACATGAGAATAAAGTACTTTCAAAATAGCACTGCTAAACCAGTGTTCAAAATGCGAAGCATATATGCAGCTGCATGGATAAACAGAGCCACTTGAAAACAGTGAATTAATTTTAAAAGGCTCACTAAGAAACATTTGGAAAATACAGAAAAAGATTTAACAGTATGCGTGTTTTGCTTAGTCTCATCACTCAAAGAACACCAACATTAATATGATAGCTTATTTCTTTCCAGCTTGTTTTCTGTATTGGGGAGTTTTGCATTGCTTTTGTTGGGGTCTGGATCACTCTGCACTTAAATTGTATAAATCACTTCTTAAAGATCTAAGCATGGATAAAAGCTTACATTACGGTATCACGGTATAACTTTGACTATCATTCTTAAAGTCTGGTATTGGGTCTTCACTTAAGATGGGAAACCCTGAGAAATCTCAGATGGAAATTCTGCTCCCTGCCTTCCCTGTGACTGGAGGTGCAGGGAGAGGGAGGCTTCTCGGCTATTAACCAACAGAGCACTCTGCATGTCCCGGAATCATCTCTACCCTTGATTCTCAAGACACCTCCCTCCCCATCACCCTGGCTCACTTATGATCCCTGCAAGGAGGAGAGACTGTTTGCATTGGGGCCAGTGGAGATGAAGATTGGGGGAGGGCACCAGGAGTCAGTAAGAGTGATGGGGTGTAGGACTGGGGGAGGGAGCAGAAAAGAGGAAATGATGGATGGGAAGGAAGACAGCCGGAGACAGGAAAACTGTCAAGGAAGGGTGAGGGGAGCTGGGTGGGCGGGGGTGTGTGTGTTTGCTTCTCTTTTTTCCACACCGGGAGGGTGAGTTTCTTGGAGATGAAACCACACAGCAGCAGGACCAGCCTGAACAGCCACGCCCATCACAGTCACTCTCCTCAAACCACTCCCAAAGACCTACTGGGTGCTGTGCCCTGGGCTCAGAGGGAGTGCCCTTAAGATGGTCAAGGGTGAACTTTGTTCTGCCCACAGAAGACAGGGTGGGCTCCTGGAAGAGATGGCTGCAGTGGGGACCCATGAGCTGAGGTCATGGGCATTTAGGGTTTGAGTATGCATTTAAAGACAGTGTGTGGGATCCTGGAGAATCACTATTCCTAGAGGGGGGACAGCCTTGTTTTATGGGGAAGAGAGAAAGGCATAAAGACAGAGAGATGTGGAGTTAGATCCAGAGAGACTGGGAGCCACAGAGATGGTCATGGGCAAAGAGACAAAGGAAGAGAGAGGCAGAAAGGAAGATGGGAAGAGACTGGGAAGCAGAGAGACACAGAGAAGGCAGATACAGAAGAGAGACACTGGGAAGAAAGGCTGGCAGGGGAGCAGGGGGAGAGAAGTGAGAAGGAGGAGGAGGAGATACCCAGCCCGCCTGGTGGAGGAGAAGGTGTGCACATGGCAGGAACCCAGAGGGAAAGTGACAGACACACAGACAGACAGACAGAGAGATTGGCACTTCAAAGAGAAAGAGGCTCAGGGTGTGACAGGAACAGAGAAAGGGAGAACAGTGACAGCAGCCATAAGGCACAGTGGACAGGCCAGAAGCAGCGACACCGTCCCTAGGAGACCCCACCCCACACCTTCAGGAGCCTCCCTGGCCCCAAGACTGGGAACACGTTAGCCACTTCAAAATGCCCATAACAACCTTCTGTGGCTCCCCATCGCCTCTAGAATGGAGCCCACCCCTCTTCTCTGGCATCCAGGCCCCACAGACCTGCTTGCCCTGCCCCCACCCCGCCCCCTGTCTTGCCTTGGCTCAGGGCCCTAGTTGGGACCTCAGGGACTCCTATCACTTTTCCCCCTGTGCCTGGACCAATGGGTCCTAATGCCATGAGTCACATAAAATACATTTCTGGTAGAAAACACATTAGCAAGCCCACTGAGTGACGCTGGATTTCCACATCACTCTAATGTACATGGTGCCTCTCCAAATCCACTTAAGCACAAAGCATCGGCTGACTTCAAGAGCAATGTCAAAAGTAAGCATTTTGGGTCTGTGCCCACCTGTCCATGACTTTTACATAACAGCACTTCAGGATCAATGTTAAGTAAAAGTCATGGGCAGGTGGGCACAGACCAACAAGGGGCATGGACTGCCTGAAGCTCAGGAGCCATTGCCTCCTTCAAAACTCACTTTCAGGCCTCACCTCCCCAAGGAGGCCTTGCAGGATGCCAACTTCTCCTATGGTCCTCTTGCTGCTCCCTGGGTTCAAAAAGAGTAATGTCCGCTGTGGGGAATGGGAGACAGTGGACAGCCTCAGAGAGGAGGTATAGTGGGTCGGGTCTGAGGATGAGTCCAGGCAGAAAGGGACAAAGAGAGAACAGCGTAAAGAAAGCCGGAGATGGGAAGGACAGGACACACCTCCCGCCTTCCCAGCCACCGCCGCCTGCTCCATTCTAAGTCCACCTTCCCACTGCTTGTCTGTTTCCCTCGTTCCGGACCTTGCCCTCACTTATTCCTGCCTGAAGATCCACAATCCAAGTTGGGTGCAAATGTGGCCAGGCTCCCCCTGGGGAGTTGGGTTCACACCTTCTCTTAGCACCTCAGCCTTAGGAGAAGTCTCCCCTGTCCTGTGGCTCTTACTCTCTCCTTCCCAACTCTGCTGTCTTCCTTTCTCATCAAACAGCAGTGCAAGAGACCAGCACAAGGCAAACTTCAACCCCTCATTGTGCAGGTGGGGAAACTGAGGCCCAGAGAGCGAGGATATTTCCCCAGGTCACACAGCAGTAACCTTGGAGCCATCCTAGGACCCAGAGCTCCCTCACCACTGGGGGCTTCCATGCTCCCAGGCTCCCACAATTCTCCTTGGGCCCCTCCTGCTTGCCTCCCTTCCTCCCTGTCTCCTGCCCATTCTCCCCAAATCCCCACCCACTCTCTCCTGCTCTCTTTTCTGCTAAACTTGCCTCTCCCACACAGACCAGCTCCGCATACACACATACGTATGCCTGCATGCGCACACGATCACACACACACAGTCGCATACACACACGTACTCACACTCCCACATCCACTTTCTCCCACCTCCGTCTTCCAGGCTTCCAACTGTCCAGCCCAAATTGGGGACAGGACCCTTCCAGAAGCTGGAAGGGAACAGGGACAAGACGGCGGCTGGGCCGGAGCAGAAGGTGGCGGAGAGAAAAGAGAGGTGCTCCCCCACCCTGGGCCCTGAGTTCCAAGCATGTGGCCAGATATTATTTTAATAAACCCGGCACATGTTGCCCTCACGCCAGCTGCCGCATACCCTCTCATCCTGTAGATCTCATTTATTCCTCATTAGCAAAATCACCTGTTTGTCAAATAAGGACAGCTCAGTGAGACATTAAATTGCACTGAAGCTGGGGGTGGCTTGGGGACCATGGCAGGGAGCAGGGAGGGTGGCAGGGAGGAAGCGGGGAGGAGGTGGAGGTGACTTCAACTCCAACTTTGCTCTGGCCACAGGGGCAAGTCCTCCAGTGCCAGCAGCCTCACCCCCAACCCAAGAGTTGGCCAGTAGCCACAGGCATGGGGCTGGGAGCCTGCTGAACTTGGGAGAGGCTGAATTTGGGAATGAGTCAAATTTTCCTATGGCATCAGCAGGAGAGGGTGCCAGCAAGGTCATGAAGAGAGGGCAGGAATTGGGCAGCCTTCTTCTCCCCTTCGGAGAGCTGGCATGGGAGAGAGCCCTGCAACAATAAATATGCATGCAACAGTGCAACACTGCATTTCTCCAGCCAGGAGCAAAGAAAAGTGGCATCCCGTGGCAGTTAAGTACACAGATCTGGAGTCAGGCAGAGCTGGGTTCAAAAACCTCTTTGGCTGCTCTCTGTGCGCACTGGGACAGGTCACTTGACCTCCCCGAGCCTCTCTTTTGCAGCTATAAGATGGGGCTAATGTCAGTACCTACCTAGTGCGGTTGTCCAGTTGATTATTCCATTATTCAGGCGACACTTAGCCCAGTGCCTTGACCAGATAACATGATTAACTCTACCGTTTGAACACATCAGCCTGCGGCCAGGTTCAAAGTCAGTGACAATATCGCCACAGACTCCGACTCTGTCACTGCCCTTTGCTTCCTCCCTGAAAGCCCCCCTCCTTGTTTTCAGGATGTCCCCAGATAACTGGGTTTTCCCACTCTACAATGCAAGCTCCACAAGATCAGAGTCTATGGCTGCGTGGCTCACCTTGAACACACAGCATATGTTCAGGAACTGTTTGTTGACTGACTAATGAACCGATCCCCTCCTGCCCCTGTGATCACCACCTTTTTTCCCTGGATGTATCTTCTTCCAACACTTTAGCCCAGAGCTGTCTGATAAAAATATAATGCAAGCCACAAGTACAACATTAAATTTTCTAACAGCATCATTTTGAAAAATAAATGAGACAGGTGAAATAAATTTTTGTTTTTGAGATGGGGTCTTGCTATGCTACCCAGCCTGGTCTCAAACTCCTGGGCTTAAGCAATCTTCCCGCCTCAGCCTCACAAAGGGCTAAAATTACAGGCACAAGCCATCACACCCAGCCTGAAATGAAATTTAAGCATCTGTTTTATTTAACCTAATGTTTCCAAAATATCATTTTGACATATAATAAATATTTAAAATTACTGATGAAATATTTTATATTCTCTCTTTCATGCTAAGTCTTCAAAACCTAATATATGTTCTGCACTGATGGCACCCCTCAATTCAGACTGGCCCCGTTTCAAGTGCCTGATAGCCATTCATGGCTAGTAACCTCCAAATGCTGTAGGGTGCAGTTCCAGACCCTGGCTGGGACAGGCCATCAGCATCATTTGCAAGTGCTTTTTAAACCATGATATGCAGTCAGTTGTCTGAGCCTGAGCTCATGGAAGTCACTGAGCGGATTCACCATCCCAGTGAGTACACGGCTGTCACAACATTGGCTCCAGGGGACAATACAGAAATGCAGAGTCCCTGACTCTACCCCCAGACCTCCTAAGTCCGAATCTGGTTTGAGGGCTTACTTTTTATCCTGAGGTCATTGTAGAGTCATAATCCGTTGTAATAAATAATACAGAGAGCTGGTTTACTCTTCATGCAGTTCCCCCCAAACATCTTGCAAAACTCTAGTATAAGTCCCAATTTGAAAATTGACATAACTGACATTGACCCAATTCACCCACCTTATTCAGATTTTACCAGTTTTACTCTTTTGATTTTTAGTTTACACTCATTTGTGGGTGAATTTGGTTCTGTGCAAGTTTGTCACATGTAGATTCATGCAACCCCCACAATTGTCAAGAAACAGAATCGTTCATCATAGGACTTCTTATGCTACCCTCTTATACCACACTCACCTTCTACCTCCCGTCCTCCCCAGTCCTGAGGAATT